GCGGGAGCAGCAGCAGCGGTCGCCGCCGCCCCGGGCGCCCTGTGTGGTTTCGCTATCCGCTCTTTCTTTTTAGCTTTGCTTTAAACACGGCTCCCCAGGAGCACCGGGCCTCGCCGGGCCCTGCTGCTTTTCCCTTTTTAATATTTTTTTATTTGCTTAACATTATTCTCTAGCAACCATGCTGGGTGATGAGGGGGGGCAGGCAGAGGCGTGGGGCTGTTTGGACCTGTAACTGAGCAGCCCGTCGTTGATCCGGAGCCCTTTGGGTCGTCCTGGTGCTGCAGGGCCAGTAAAGCGGGGTGCGAGAAGCACCGGGGCCCGAGGGTGGTGGCAAGCCTCGACCTGCAGGTGAGCCCCTGCCCAGGGCTGGGCTGAGGGTGGCTGGCATTAACCCGCTCCAAAATACAACAAAGAAGTTGGAGCTGAGGGTATTTTTGGGGGGCAGTGACTGCAGGTGTGGGTGGCAGCCACTCGTGCCCTGAGCACGTCCGGTCTCTGCTGCAGAGCAGAGATGGTGGAGCCCTTCCTGGGCCAAAGGGACTGATCCTGTCAGTCGGTCCCCGTGCACAGACACTTACTAATTCAGGAATGTCGGCCTTAAGTGGTGCGTGGGAGTTAGCGGTTGCACAAACAAAGTGATGTAGAAAGGTGAGGAATTGAGAAATAGCTGACCTTTCCTGCTTGGAGCCGTTCCTAGGAGGTACCATGGGCTGCCACAGATCACACTGCTTTTTATTTACCCAGCAAAAACATGTTTGTTGTTACAACAGAGATGTGGACGGTCTTCCCAGGAAGCAGGCTCCTGGTGTCCTCAGGGTGGGGAAACTTCTGGGGAGCTCCTATGGCTTGTTCCCAAAGACCAGCTGTGAGGGGCTGGTACTATGGGACCTTCCCACTGCTGGTGCTGAGCCCCGGGTGGACTTTGGTGCCTCACTGAGCTGTTGTCACGCGGGGTTTTGCTGAGGATCAGGTGTTTTTATTAGTTGTATCTTCTGTTGGACTTTAGCCCGGTGCCGGCTGCCCGTTGCCCCTGCTTGGGCTGATCCATTTAGCAAGGCACTGGTCTCATCCCTGCCCGGCTGAAGCACTGCTCTAGCACCTCCCTGATGGGGTTGTTGAGGTGGGAACAACCAGGCTCTGCCCTGCTTGCTCCCCTGTGGCATCCCTGGTCCCTTGGGTCTGGCCCCATGCCTGGCCACCGTGCTGCCCTGCACAGGGGGAGTGTGACTGCCCATACATCACTGGGCCAGCAAGACAGTCTGTGCTGTGCTTTCTATTTCCAGATCTCTCCATGGGCTGGGAAAAATAAAAGGGACGTTGTTAATGTAGTTTGGGTGAGTCCCCTGCCAGGCTTGGAGGAGCTGAGGACATGCAGTCCCCAAGGGGGGACAGGGCCCTGACATGCTGCTGGGTGGCCACCTGCTTGCAGGGGCTGCACACTGGCTGGAGGGATGCAAAGAGCCTGGGAAGCCGGAGACGCCCTGCGGGCTTGGGGGGGGCAGCCCTGGGCCGGAGACGCCCTGCGGGCTTGGGGGGCAGGCTCAGGGCACAGCACGTGCAGAGTTACCGTGGGCAGTTTCTCTATGTGCAGGAGCAGGAAGTGGGTGATGCGGGTGACATGGGGTGACATTGCTACACGGGCCCGGACGGTTTCTCAACAGGTAACAGGAAATCTTGCGGCTGGGGGTAGGGGCTGGTGCTTGGGATGGGAGAGCAAAGGCAAGCAGGTTTGGAGACATCGCCCCAGTTGGGCGCCCACCGAGTGGGGTGGGAAGATGCCGGGCGGGATGCTGAGCCAAGCCGGAGCGGGCAGAAAGGGATTTCTCTCTGGCGAGCCAGGAACACACTGTACTTGTGATGGGAGAGCAAAGGAAGGCAGGTTTGGAGACATCGCCCCAGTTGGGCGCCCACCGAGTGGGGTGGGAAGATGCCGGGCGGGATGCTGAGCCAAGCCGGAGCGGGCAGAAAGGGATTTCTCTCTGGCGAGCCAGGAACACACTGGTGTGCCTGTTCTCCGGGAGCTGGCAGGCAGCCGGTGCCTGCTGCCCCATCCCCCTGCAGCCCCCGATGGCCCCCTCCCCACC